TATAATTTTATCATTAGATTCATGGCACATAATCTAAATTTGAATTTGAATTCTAAATTTTATATATATATCGTGCATCTAACCATGATAGTATATACATTGTCAATGTATATAAAATTTACTTATATATATATATATATATATATATATATATATATATATATATATATATATATATATATATATATATATAGCAATTTTACGATGAGCCCGTTTTTTGTTTAGTTCAAAATCCTCTTCAATTGAATCAAACATGAGGCCATTTCCGTAAAAGTCAAAACTTTGACAATTTACTAGAGTTGTAGTTATCGCCATAATACAACTGCGTACTTCCATTCCACAGTTGATGAATTGTCCTTTGTTTCTGCGTAGTTTTTGTACAAACCAAACTAGTCCAAATCATATTTTCTCACAACATTTTCGAGCTCCAAAGAGGTGAAAAAGGAAGGAAAAAAGAAAAAGGAGTAAAACTATTATCATATGTTTGTACGCATTCATGTGGGTGCTTTTTACCCAGTGATAGGTCATGAGCGGATCAAAGAAAGTGGCATCTTGCCCATACAATAATGCAAATAGGGCAAAAGACAGAGAGATGTTGATCATACTACATCTTTTAGTCCTGCCCGCTTTTCGCTTCGATTCTTAGCAGAATATTGAGGAACTTTACTGTTTACATGTGGAATTGGTATTTCGTCGTCTGTGTAGTTTATTAGTTATAAACAAGGTACAGAGGTTCAATGGTCAAAGAACTTTTCATAAAGATGAAAATTTGGAGATAATTTGTCCATCCCCTTTCCCCGTTAGGCTCCATATGGATCCGAATGTTATAAAGGAAAAAGGAAAGCAAGAAAAGAAGGTGAATGAAAACTACTTGTTCTCTCATTTTTGATCCAACTCAGATAAATACAGAAAAAGGTCTTCAATTGCGTTTAAAAGTGAAGGATTGAATTGGTAAAGTGGGATCTAGTGTACATTGCATGCACTTGCCATTTTGGCGTTTGCCTGAGATTTTTCCTCTGCAATCCAAAAACAAGAAAATATACTCTGCATTGCATCCTTGCTTTTAGTACAATGTCACGACTATACGGCACATCGATCAAACGTGAAGTAAATATTTCCACAAATGCTACTTCGCAGCCGACACCCTTGAGCCATAATGGTCGTAATACTTGAAATCCTAATATCCTTAACAACTGTTGACACCTAACTTTCCATTTTTCACCACTTTGAATGACCAATATCTAATTTTAAATCTTAATAAAAATTCAACACTTAAAAAAAACTACAATACCTGCATAATATTTGAGCATTACTTGGAGAATATTACTGAAATTTCTCATAAACATGTCTAGCAATCACTTTTTTTTTTATCTTGTATATATCATATTAGGGCTGGCAATAGGGTCAGAAATGGGCTGGGGATCGGATTGAGACCCGAGTATAACAAAAAACCTGCTGACTCGAACATGACCCCCCATTCCGTAATAGGTCAAGATACCTGACCTGAACCTAAAATTTTTGAATTGGCGGGTCAATTTCGAGTTGACCTGAACTTGAAATTTTTAGATTGACCTGATATAACCTAAAACAGAATTTCAATTTACTAATTTATCACTGTAATTTCTAATAGAACCAATTTCGCAAAAGACTAATAATATAATGAAGTAATAAAAATCTCGATAAAGCAATTTCAAACCAGATCTAAAATAAATTCAAACATTGTAGAAGTGTTTTATCCCAAACCAGATCTAAAATAAATTAAGACACTATAAAAGTAGAAGATAATGTAATGCATTATTTGTCCAAACATAATAATTCCAACTTCATACAAGTTAAACAAATTTATTTAGGATTAAGTGATGAATGCCTTTGGGAAAAAAAAGAATAACTTAGTTTTGTTGATAAAATATTTTTATATTTATTAAATTCTTTTTAATTCATAAACGGGTTATTGGGTCAACCCGTATATGATATGAATTCGATCTATTTTCTTTTTGGGTTCGACCCGATTTTAATCTGAACCCGTAAAATCTCAACCAAAATCCATTAATTTCGTATTAGATTCATATCATGTTTTCATGTCGTATTAAAAATTACCACACCTATATCAGATCATAAAACATACTGTGGTAAATTTTTTTTAGAAAAACACAATTCAAACAGACCCAATTGTGTTCTCGATAGTAACGGCTTCAATGCTAAAGATGATATACAAAGTGGCAGATTCAATCAAAGGGTCCATGTTCAGGTGCTAAAAACTTTCATGGATAAGATTTTTGGGGTCAAATCGTTAGCTGCCTAAACTTCAATGGTCGAAAGTGTATTTTCTCTTCTTTTTTTTTGGGAAGGGGAACCACATTTTTTTCCCGTTTTCTGTGTAGGGGAAAGCAAAAATACCCACTAACCAAAAAACTCGCATTTTCGATCCGATCTGATTCGAAAATTAGGATACCTGATTCATATTATTTGATCGTGTCAAAGAGAGTCGGATACTGGTTTAAATGCTGGGCGGATTAAAGTTACATAATTAAAAATTCGCAGGTACTCGACGGCCGGCATATTTTTTAATATTTTTATACACATACTATAAAATAATAATTTTAGAACTATATAAACAATTTCATTGAGCAAATTGCATTACAAATATGAGACACTATAGTTTGTTTACAAAAATCATTTGTAGATTTTTCTTGTATTCTTTTCGCATGTTTGTTTCTTAGTGAGAGACTTTTTTTGAGAAACAAAATATTTATTAAATCTTATATGAATATGTAAAATACAAAATTAAACTAGTATAAATCATTTTTTTACAGAAAATTAAATGATAAGTGAGGCAGGACGGGTACGATTGACCCGACCCTATCTCGGTGAGTATTCGATAATTCGGTACCCACTGATATACGGGATGGGTAAGAGTCAAAAATGACTGACTCGCAAGGTGCGGGTCGAGTCAGCAAATGGTGCACGGGACGAATACTCGACCATGCCTACCCTATTTCTGGGTTACCAAACTATTGCTCTATAGAGCAACGGGATACAAAAATTAGGATCGGCCACTCAGAGCTGGGCTCATCTTGCTGCAATGTTCCTCATTGAGCCCAATATTGAAATTCCAACCGTACGTTATACACATAGAAACCACTAGCCCACCTCTAAAAAGCTCTTATTCCTACGCCAATGAACCCCCCCCCCCCCCAAAAAATAAAAATGGTGAGAGTCTTTGTTATTGTAAAGGCAATTACAGTAAAGTTTATGCTAGTTTCAATCGAATGTGCTCTATATTTGCATTAAAAGTAAGAAATTCTTTTCTCCCATAACGTTTATATGTGTCAAATTATGTATGCTTCCGCAACGCTTTTTCAGAGCCTACAAGCATCCATCCATGACAAATCATTTTGAAGTCTAAACAAAAGAATCTTCCATCTGGAAGTGTAATTCGTGACTTGACCCAGGAATCAGAGTGAATTAAAAATCTTCACCGATGCCCATTTGGGCGTTCAAACTTCGACCCAAACTCACCGTTTTGTCCACTCGGCTCTAATGATTTGGATGTTGTTAACTCTTGGATTTGTTGCGACTCGTTTTGCGCTTGGACTAGAAAGAGTGCGTATATAGCACAAAAGAAGGAAGCAGGCTCGGCCAAACCGGATCCGCATAAATGATTCAGAAGATTTTAGCCCAAACTGCGAGAATTACGAGATCGCAGTTTTGATCTGGATCATGCCTGCAAATTAACACGTCATGTACCAATACCTATACTGGAAATCACACACCAAAAAAAAAAAAAAAAGAAGAAGAAAGACTATTATGTTTGAATTAATAATTCTCTCTGTTTTAATTTTTGACTTTGGAGCCATAATTGAACAGACACTTGTGTGGCTTGGACAAACATCAAAAAATCATTTTTTCTCTCAAAGTGTACCAATCACTATCTAAAAAATTTAATTTAGTTTCAGATGCATCCGACTATCACAAAGATAACCTCATATTTAAAGGATAAACTATCACTCTTGTAAATAATCATCACCGAATCCGACAAAAATCTATCTTGCGATACATATAAAATATTCAAATCTTTAGTCGACTACAAATTAGAAAGAAACGTAAAAAGAAACATACAATTACTTCCAAATATTTGTGCCACAAAAAAATAAAAATAAAAAATAAGTATTGGTAGTCTTTTTCATATATTAAATTGTAATTTAGCATGGAAGGAGTGCTAACAGGTTTTTTAAGAGTGCCAAAATCATTGCCTATTTTTAAGTACCATTTTATCACACAAATACCATATAATAAAAACTAGAAATTGCTAAAGTACTAGTCTAAAATTTTTTCCCAAGTAGTCCTTTATCCAAATACATTGTCTTGGAACAAACTTGTACTCTCTAACTCATTATTTGGGACACAAGGGCCAAATGATGATGCTGATCCTTTGGGATGGTTAAATATCAATTTTCACCTGATATGCATTTGATTCCTAACACAACACATAAAAGTTAGAACCCATCGAATAAATAATTGCCGACTTTGTAATTTTTGTGCTTAAAATATCTCATCTTACTATGTATGAAGGGAGAGAAATGGGTATGATATGGACCTTTTTTTTTTGTCATTTTTTAGTTTTTCCTTATTTACTCTCTCATTAAAAAGTTAAATAGTACAAACATGCAATAATTGCCAAAAATTTCTTTTTTTTTTAATCTAACAACAAAAAAAAAATTATTCTAATAACTGTTCTTTTTTTTTAATAAATTTTTCTTTTAATTTGCACACGTATAGGGTGTGCATTTTCCTCTAATTCATAGAAGTGTGCCACGTCTCAACAAAAATATCTCAACTATTATTTTATTTACATCATAATTATAATTTTCAATCAAGTTTTGTTTTATCTCATATATTACATAATATCACAAAATTTCTTACGGTAATTATTTTCAATAATATTTTAAATAATTTCCAATCCACACACACTTGTTATACTTTGTGCATTAGTAAGTTGTACCCGCCAACTGCAGCCCAAACCCGTGAAAGCCAGTCAGTAACTGTAACCCACCCACTGAAACCGTCCCAACTTCCCAAGCTCCATTTCCGGACTGTCCTCGAGGAGACAGAGGGAAAAAAAACCTCAAAACAATCCGAAAAAATTTAAAGCAATCCAACCTCAGAAAAAAAGAAAAAAATTTCCCCAAGAAAAAATGGAACATCACACCACCACCACCCGAGCTGAAGCCGAACGCTTACTAGGAATCGCCGAGAAACTTCTCCGCAACCGCGACTTTGCCGGCTGCAAAGAGTTCGCCGTCTTAGCTCAAGAAACCGAGCCCTTAGTCGACGGCTCCGAGCAGATCTTAGCCGTAGCCCAAGTCTTGCTAGCTTCCGAAAAGCGTATCGGCCAACACAACGACTGGTACTCGATTCTCCAACTCCCCAACCGCACCGATGACTCCGACCTCGTTAGGAAACAGTACCGTCGTTTCGCTCTTCTTCTCCACCCGGACAAGAACAAGTTCGAATTCGCCGAATCCGCTTTCCGCCTCGTTGCCGATGCATGGAACGTTCTGTCCGATCCCGTCCAGAAATCCGCCTACGATAAGGAGCTGTCGTTTTTTACCAAGATAGATCTAGCTGCTATGAAGAGGCAGAAAGATTTACAACAGCGGCAGCAGCAGCGCCAACACAAGAATGATCTCTCCAATCAGAAATTGCCCGTCCGGCGAAGCTCTAGGGAAATAATACCGCTAATAATGCTAGTGGTGCTGGTAACAATGCTAGCAATGTCAATAGCTCTACACCCACACTGCCCGGGCTTCGGGCCGGAGGAGTAATTTGAGCAATAGCGGAAGTGGTGGTGGTGGGGCCATGAGGGGACAAAGGGGGGCTACAACGACGTTTTGGACGGTGTGTCCGTACTGTTATAATCTTTACGAGTATCCCAGGCTTTACGAGGGGTGTTGTTTGAGGTGTGAGAATTGCGAGAGGGCGTTCACTGGGATGGAGATTTCGGCAATGCCGCCGCGGTGCCGGGGAAAGAGGCGTATTACTGTTGTTGGGGTTTTTTTCCGATGGGTTTTGCGAGTGGGGATTTGGATGGTGGGAAGGGTGTTGATGCTTCTGGGTTTCCGAATTGGATGCCTCCGATGTTTCCGGGTAATGAGGAAAACAATAATAGAAATGTTGGTGGTAATGCTGGGGTGGGGATGGAGAGTGGGAGGAAGGAGCAGAAGACTGCGAAGGTGGCAAGAGTGTCAAATCCGAGTGCTAAAAAGAGAGGTAGGCCTAGGAAGAATGTGATCAATGTATGAGCAGTGAACTTGGTTGGCGGTGGAATGAGGCGGCGAACTGGTGATGGAGGTGAATGGTGGAATTCGGCTCCGATGGATTACACGGGGAATGTGTTTTCCTGCTGATGAGTTAGAAGAATCTGACTAGGTGGATGGGTTCAAGAAGAACCTGCTTATAAGTTGGAATTGGAATAGATTGGTTGGATGGAAGGGAGGGGGACTGAGTTTGGTAACAGTAGTATCAGCTTCTAAGTTGTGATGTGCTGAAAATTTTGGACACGTTTTGATTGGATTCCTTCGCATAAGGTGGCTGATGTTTAGGTTGTCGGAAGTGTATTTGGTACTCAGTTTAGTTGTTCATCTGATGCCCTATGTTTGTAGAAATGTTAAAATGTTTGTATATTTTGTTGCTCTGGAACTGGCTCCATGTAGGGAAGCCTATGTACAATCTCGCTCTTTGCAGGCAAAAATTTGTCAATGACCGATGATTGTTCTTGGTATGTAGTAGTAGCTGTGAATGTGCTTGCGAATTCATGTCTAAATTAAAGTCAATATGGCAAGGATTTAGCTTGCAGTTGATTCATATTGACTCGAGTGTTTGAGAGTTGAATTTTAAGGCTATGTACGTAGACGAGCAGGGAATTGAGACTGCATGGCTACTAAATCTATAGCTGTGTAACACTTCCAGATTCTCTCTTAGCTTTAAGCTCAGAGAACACTAACCAGGGCAGTGTGCCCATCTTAAGAGATAGATGTACATGTTGGAGGAAATTGCTTTGTGTTGCAAGGGATTTAATAAACTTACGTCTTCCATCATGCTTAATCTTCAATTTAGCTTAGCAGAGGAGAATCAGAGAATATAAACTCAGAATATTACCAAGCAAAACAGAATCAGCAATCTCCCATTGCCATCATTTGAAATAAAAGATCTAGAGTCTCAAACATGGGTGAGCGTTTAACAGAGGAGAATCGGAATTTCTCATACTACCATTTGGATTATAACCATCAGCGACAGAATAAACCCCATTAACCATGCGTCAAGGCAGTATGAATATGGAGCCAATCATGATCATCCCTCATCAGAGATGATGGATGCTACATCCCTAATCTTCCATGTGCTGAGGTTATTCTGCGTCTGGGGTAGATAAAATCCCCCCGACTTCAAGTTTAGTGGAGTATGACGGGATGGATATAAAAAGAAAATACTTGATATAAAAAAAACATGAAGTTGTCAACCAGAAGATAAAACCGAGATAAGAAAGCACCATCAATATGAGAAGCATAAATCTTGAATTTGAAAAGGGATACGCATCTCAAACAGAACGTCAGGTGCAGTAGAATCCTGAGGCCATTTTAAAAACAATAGCAATGCTATGAAGACATAGCAGAAGAATTTGAGAGCCTAAGGCACTCACTTTGACACCTCTTAAGACAAATGTCATTCCAATTAGGCACTTGATGTTGATTAACACAGACAGTCCGGGCACAAGCATCAGCGCAAGCATCTAGCTCAGAAACACCGCAAACAGTCACACAAGTATCAGGAGTTGGGTCTTTAGAAAATGCGCCAACCTTCTTCAGCATCCTCTTCGAAGTACACACCCTCTCACAAACAAATATTTCATCTGAGCTCTTTTCGCGACCCCGAGCACTCTTTAACCTCTGCTCGTCCGCTCGCCTGTTCTTCATCCTGAAAGCCTGCCCTGCAACCACAGCTGGTATTGCAGCCGCAACTATAGACCACCACCAATCCACCATTTCTAGATAATTGCTCAACCGCTACACTTCATGCTATCATAAAACCTTTATAGCGAAAAATAGGAGAAAGAGGGGAAGAAAAGGTAAATCCATCAAGAAAGGTCTTATTTTTATTTAAAATATGGCAAACTACATGACTTTTCTCCACAAAATTCAATTAGCGTGTCACCAAAGAGACGCACCCTGACCAAGAATTCTTTTGTTCTGCTTTTTCAATAAAGGAAACGCAACAGCTCAATGATTCTGATAAGAAAGTACAGAACATAATTTTCAAACATTGATCTTTATTAGTCAAATTCTATCTCCCTTTCCTTCAAATGCCATGTATTTCTTACCCTCCACAAAACCCTTTCATTACAAAATGATATAAATTGTTTTGAAAATTTTATAGCATAATAACCACTTCCACAAATAGTACACCATTTTCAATCATTGCAGCAGCTTACATTCAGGCAATCTCACTTCTTATCTTCAAGCAGGGAAATGGAAAGAGCAAAAGCCATACATAGGAGCATCAAATATGCATAAAAGCCTGTTATTACTCTAGATAAACTATAAGCTTATCAATGTTCCAGAAAAATTCCATAACTAAGTGATTGCATAAGCTTAAGATAAAGGGAATCAGGGCAATAAAAATGAATAATTCTTTGACCAAGGAAAAATGATATGATGCTGAGTCTCAACGAGAGCACTATCAAAAAAGAAAAAGGAGAAAAAAAAAACCTCATTGGAAGATCCTCTTTTTGGTAATCAACATTATAAAATTACTAGCCCATGTTATCCGGAATTAAATACGGAGAAAAACAGGATATACAAGACAATGAGATTATACCAAATGGCTGTTGAAATATGTAAGCATGTGAATATAAGCTCAAACACGTAATAAGAATAAAACCCTACAGATACAAAGATTTTGCCAGTCAAAAGAAATTCAGAATTCAATATTCAATGCTGCAAAGCTAAAAATCGAAGGGAAGGAAGAGAAAAAGAGCGAGCCTTTAGTTGTTACCTTCTGGACTGAAGAACCCACTTCGAGAAAATCAGAGAGGGCCAAGGAGAGAGCACTTGGAGCAGGGTGAACCGGTGAAGGGTTTTACAGATGGGGAGGAGAAGAAAACAGACAAAAAGAAGCAAAGATAACGGGACGGCGTAGTTTCTTTTTGGAGGTACTAACATGCCCCTCGACAAAACATGTTTCTCACTTTGCCCCATGATAGGATTTTCAATATTTCTCAATTGACACAAACAACCCAATTGGGAAGCTATATATCAAATTGAATACTTAAACTTTGTCATGTAATTTTAAGTGTGTTTGGATAGTAAATTATTTGAGATAATTTTGTGAAAAAATACTGTAGCACTTTTTTGATGTGATGTATGTGAGATAAATAAGGTGATTAAAAAATTGTTGATAATACAAATAAATCAGTGTGTGTAAATAAGATAGAAATAATACGTGTACCAAATATACTCTTTGTTATAAGATTATAGCAGTTCAATCAACTTAAACATTATAACTTAAGTTACATAAATAGTAGGAACTATAAATGTGGGTGGGGAAAACAATTTTGTCAAGTGCAGGCCTTGTTTGGACAGTCATTTTCTAAAGAAAAATTGCTACGTTTTCGGTGAACACGTTTCCCAATCACCTTTTTACCTCACATATATTAAATTGTTATAGTATTTTTTCTACAAAAGATCTAGAAAAATGCAATCCAAACTTAAGCCAAGTTTTTTGCCAAGTTTGTCTGCTACAACTTTTTTAAAACTTTACCTACAGTAATCTCAAAAAAATTTTCAAAGTTTTTAAATAATACACTTCAAAATATTCAAAAAAAAACACACTTCAAAATTTTTTTAAAAAACTTCTACAGTAAACTACAGTAAAATTTTAGACAAACACCCAAAAAACTCACCTTTTAAATAGGGCCTTAATTCTTGACCTTGAAAGTAGCAGTACTTTATACAAATAACTTTCTAACCAGTTGTGGACTAATTAGTTAGTTAGACACACTACTTTTGTTATATGGGATGCTTTAGTTAGATTAGTCAACTAGTTACAACTAGGAGTGTGCAAATTCGAAAAATTTCGATTTACCGACCGATTTCGAATTGAATTCGAAACTTCGAATTCGGAATTTCAGTAATTCGGAATGGAATTCGATAATTCCAATTTCGAATTGGTCGAAATCGGATCGAATTCGAAAATATAATTTTTGAAATCGTAATTACGGATTTCGAATTGGGGAATTCGAAATCGGAACTGTTATTTTAATTTCGAATAATAATATTTATATATAATTTTTTTAACAATACATATATAATATATATTATATAACATAATAAGTTAATAACAATAATACTGATACATCTAACAATTGAAATTGCAAAAACCTAATCTGTTAACTCTTGTTACTCTTCGCCACCTCTTCCTCATCGTCTCTCAAGACTATCTCTCACCTTCCTTCTCCTCTCCTCCCCTCCACCGCCTCCACGCCTGACTCACTGTCTCACCTTCCTTCCTCCGTCTCCGACTCACTGTGATTTCCTACTTCCTCAACTTACTCTCTCTCACTCTCAGTTTCACCTCCATCTTCACGCCACATCCATGCTCCTGCCAGAGAACCTTTGTCGGCGAGAATTCCGAAGCCTAGGCTGGCGGAAAGGAGGCATACTCAGGTTCGCCGGGACAATCAACTAAAGAGGTGATACCGCATACGAAACGAGTTCCAAACCGCTTCGTGGGACGAGTCTAAAAGAATAAGCTGAGGCCGTCGTATTGAAAGAAAAAGGCCTACTCAGTGGGCCGAAAGGGCGATAGACTACACCCAGAACAGAGGACAGGGTTGGTATATTTAGAGTATCTCATTTACTTGCGATCGGATCGGTAACCAAAAGCAAGCTTGAAAGGGTGAGGGTGCCCTTGACTTTAAAGAGCCGGGACTAGTTTTGGGCGATGAAGTTGACGGCATCCCTGGCGGTGAACAAAGGACGTCCATAACCGTCGTCGGCGGCAAGCATTGCAGCGTAAAGAGCTCCAATGCCAGTGTCGGTGATAAGATTGAGGAAATCGGCAATGCGAGATTGGGAATCAGCGGATTTGGCATGGATCTGGTCTTCGAGAAGGATCAAGGAATGAGCGGCGAAGATGGCAGAGGGGGAGCCGACTCTGCCGCCGTCGATACTGAGAATGTGAGTCTTCTTGGGGGTTGGCAGTGATGCAACCACTGTTGCTCGAGCTTGGAGAAGATTTCCAGCGTCACTTTACTCAGCTCCAACCCTCCTTCCATTGGTCGTTTCTCTTTGCAGTTTGTACTACTTACTAAATCACAAGTAGCGTAGAGAAAGTTGGAGAAAACGGAGTAGACTTAGACTGGCAGGAGTTTGCAGTGGTCGGTGAGAGTGAAGTAGAATAGCAATAGACCGAGAAGGGAGGAAGTGCAGTAGACTAAGAGTAGAGTAGGTTTGAATTCGGTGAATTCGAAATTCGGGTATCGAATTCGAAATCGGAATTGGCCATTTCGAAATCGAATTCGGTCGGAAAAATTCATGTCAAAATTTCAAAAAATTCCAATTTCAAACTTCCGATTTACCGATTTCGATTTCGATGCACAGCCCTAGTTACAACTTTATTACGTTACATGTACATCTTGCATAGAACAATAAAATTGGAGATTCTTCGGCAAAGGAAATCAACATTTACCCACAAATATGTGTTCACCATTTTTAAACATGAAGTTGAAAAAGAACAAATAATAGACTTAATAATAATTTTCAAGTGTACATTTTCCAACTCTAGGTCACAAATAATGAATTTTATGACAAGCTCGTTTTATCGTGCTCCCGTGGGTAGCTCGGTTGGGATTGATCATTTATAATTACAGTAAGGTCTCAGATTCGATCCCCATGTGCTATTGTTGCTGGGCATATTTGGGCGAAACTCTGCCCAACTAAGGGATTAGTCTGGGTAATTTTGGATACCCATTTAGACCCGAAAAAAAAAGCTGTCGTTTCATCACAATAATAAATATACATGCATCTCCCGTTACAAAATCATCATACTGGAAGGCAATTTAGGAGCGCTCGGCAATGGGAAACCATAAAAAGCTGAGAGAATTGATTTGTTCCATCATCCATGTGAATAACAAGCAAGGCAAGGCATGTGGTTTTTTGAGGGGTACTTTGTAATTAACTCTTTATCCCTTCTTGTTTTCCTTTTGGCTTTGGTTTCGTTATTAGGACCTGGGAGACATTGAAGGGAAAAAGTCGTCCAAGGTCTGGGAACTCTCATTTCTGCGCAAGTGCTGTTGTAAATTGGCCACATTTGTTTCACTCCCCATTGTCTCCACTCTCCAACAAGAAGTGCAGATTATACGGAAAGAGTTTTGAGTTTTTTGACAGCTAACATCTGAAGTTTTTCTGGACTCTTTTCACTTCTACACGTAAGTTAATTTATCCTTTTTCTTTCCAATATTCATAGTTATTATTTGGAAATGGGACTTGGGGACTGGGGAAATTAGAAGGGGCAGGAGGATTTCTTGAATGTTTTTCTTGTTTCTTGGTTCATTTCTTTTGATTTTGGTTGTAGTTTGATTAATTTAAGATCGATGAAAGCCAATACTGCTTGGTTACCACTGGGTTTAATCCCCTATTTTTTGCGATTGTGTCGATATGAACGCTCTGGGCTAAAATGTGGTCTCTCAGTGCTGTTAATTGGAGCATCTCCTGTGTTAAATTAACTGCTGACTTTCAATTTCTGACAATTCACAGCTGATGTTGTTAACTAAAAGTATTAACCCTTGAGCTGCAGCGGAAATGATTTTATTGCCTTGTAATAATTTAGCTACAATTTGTGGTCCTACTAGATTTTTGATCTTTGATTGTTACTGAAGTGCAATGCTGGACCATTGGTATATGTTCGTAGTTATGCAGGGGCATTCAACTGCTCTAACATGACAATGTCTTTTTTGCCTTTTTTTGTTTTAATTGTTGAGAATTTGCAGCTTTCCAGCAGACCTTGATATTGATATCTGTCCATTTCATGCTAGTTCCAACAACTGGATGTACCTAATGTAGAGTAAAGTTTTCATGCTTCGGAGTTTGAAAATTGCCTTTACCTCTAGACATCTCTGATAGTCTTGGCATCTCAATATCCTAGATTTGAGGAAATTGTAGAACTTGATACCTAGAACCATTAGGCATTCTCATCCTGAAGACCTGCACTGAGCATGTGCAACAAAGATCTTTACTTTATGCAGCGGTTCTTTGAGGATGTGAGTGGTTGAAATGCTTGAAGCTATAGTGTTGCATGGGCAGCCATTCTGTCATGTGGATGTGATTGACGGTAGGGGTATATTTTTCAATGCATTTGTGTTTCAAAATAATGCACTCTTAAATGCTATTTAATGTAGATATATGGATGATAATGATTAGCCGCTTTTGTATATTGAAAGGGAAGATATAAGATACATTCAGTTTCCTTATATTGCATAATGCAGTCTGTTGATATCTAGTATGACCTATTATTGCTCTGTACAGCTTGAATTGCTTTAAGTACGATCAAATACTTGAAAAACCTAGATGTCAGTAAATTTTCTTGCAGTGTGATGTCTATTGTTGATCTGATAACGTGCAACTCCATATAGCAATGTGCATGAATGCAAAATTGATCATTCAGTTGCAGACGCTAAGATAAACTAAGGGCAAGTAACAGATTTTCTGTTGGAAAAATAGATGAGAGAGCGACTACTGTTTTTCAAATCTCGCAAGAGTTATCATTCTGGCGATTTTGTTGGTTCAGCTCCATATTCTTATTACAAAAAAACCTTAGTTCTCCTGCATTTCACAAATAAATGTTACTGCCAGTGAAATTAGTACATTCTGTATCTTGCAAAGAACAAAAGTGAGTCATATTTTTACTTCATTTGATGGTAGGTTGATGAAGGCACTGTAAGTGGAAGATGTAAAGGGAAGTGGAGAAAAACAGGTGGAGATCTCATTCCACTGTAAGGACACTACAAGTTGGAACTGGCCCTTTGCTGCTTGGTTGTTTGGTCTCTGCACTAATTTGTTAATTTTGAAGTTGTGGCAGCAGTTTCCTCTTCCTGCATCTTTTTGTAAGATCCTATTCAACTTGGCTTGGAGTTTGAGCATTTAAATTTGTCCATGCACCCTTTAACAGTGTTCTGAACAGTTATGTTGTCTATACCTTTCAATGATAAGATGCAAGGGATACACGAGTTGTCATAGTGTGCTATTCTGAGTGAAGCTATGAAGCAGGTAATTCTTTCTTGTCAATTCATATGCAGAAGGCAATGCATAGGTGCTTTATGCTTCATTATAGGCCAGAAAATTAAATGATCCTTTTGAATGTATCTTACCAATAATGGATTTGAACTGTAGGAACTCCAGCGCTCCAAATCAGGTTCATGTAAGCAAAAAACAAAAGGTTAGCCCATCTTTTGATTTTGTATACCATTTTATGCTCCCTTTTTTTTTTGTTTTTTGCTTTTTTACATGAGTAATATGAGAAACTATTTAATTCAAGAGAGAGGTAGCTTCCTTCTAGTTTTCTATCAAAATAATGTTTATTGAAGTTTTCATTTTTGTTCGTTCCATTTTATGGGGGTACTAGCCTTTTGGTATGTCACAAGGATTTTGACTTAGCTTACCAGTTCTCTTACCCTCTTTCTAGTCTCTCTCTCTTTTTCTTAACTACATGACCAAACTTTGTTGAATTTTATGTTACGCACTTCCTACTTTGGGGCATCAAAAAGTTTTTGACACAGCTTGACTTCTCTTATTCTCTTTCTGATTTGCTGTCTTTTCTTTACTTAATTTGTGATTAATCATTATGAAGGAAGAAACATTTGAAGCTTTTTGCTCGTCTCTGCGCCCCAATCTCGTTAATACTGATGCTTATGTTATTTGTGAAGGTAATAGGTTTATGAGGTATTAAAAAGTTGCACTTAAGAAACTCACAAGATGGTAGTTATTGAAAGTGTTAGTCATAATTCAAAGTACTCAGTTATTTATCTTACTTTTCACAGTTGCATGGTTGTTTGAGCAGGAACAGTTGTGGCTGAGGCATCTCAAAATAAAATGGAAAAGCAAACTAAAATTGACAAAGGCGAGAATATCAAATCCCTTTCATCTGTAAGTTTGTCTTGTCTTCTTTTTCGTCTGGTAAAATCAAGGGGAAAATGAACACATTCTTCCTTCATTGCAATATCACCACCAACTGTGAGTGCTCAGGGAGTCTAAATTGTTGAAGGTTTATAGTAATGTTTGGAATTCATACTGACACTTCTGAAGAAAAGCAAAGTAATGCAGTCCTCAAGAAATGCATTAGAATGGAAATCTGTGCTTTGTTTTATTTACTCCGTAGCTTCTTGAGCTTTTTATGGTCTGAGCCTCTTAATGGGCCTGTTTGATTGGATCATTATCTATATGTTTTAATTCATGTGCATCTGCAATTTTGTGTATCAGGTAAAATCAAATTTGGAAAAGCTAAATACCAAGTTAATGACAAAAAAGTCGAAGGAAATAAATTTGGATTCAGTCAGGAGCAAAGAAGAGAAAAGCCGGAAAAGGAAAAAAGAAGATGAGCAGAAGAAACCCAAGTCAAATAGCATAATTTCTGTGATTACAGGCTCCTTCCCTTCTTCATTTGCATTTTCTCATGTTTGACTTGTTGAGCTTTTCATTTTCTTCTTTGCATTTGTATGATAAATGCAGCCAACTCCAGAAGCAAAGCGCAGAAAAGAGATCAAATTGGAGCCAGTGAAGAACTCTGTGAGTAATTTGCAATTCTAGGTTCCATTTAAGGATGAATCTTAATTGTCTTCCTATCATATTGTTGAAACAATTTTGGGATCTTAGGGGAATATCTCCCTAGTACAATTACTATCAAAAAGTAAGAGTGCAGAAAGCAGAAAACCAAAGCCTAATATAAAGCCCAAGAAACCAAAAGCCACTTCAGTATCTGTGAGTAAACATCTTTTCTGGTCTTACATACCTTAATTTCCTCTTTGCAAGGCTTGCATTTTTGTTCTGGGGTTTTTGGTTTCCTTTAATTGAACATTATATCAGGTAAAAACCTCAAAAAAGAAGCCTTCAAATGGTACTGCTGCACAGAATTCAGTTAAAAAGGGCAAGACGACTTCAAAGTCTGAGCAAGGAAAGGAGGAGGAGGAAACGGAAAGTGGTAGTCATGAAAAACTTAAACCAAAGAGCCCAAATTCTGTGAGCAGATTACAATTCATACTTGCACTTTCGTACTGGATCTTGTTTTTGTGCTTCATGAGACAAAATTTATAGTTTTAGGATTATTTTCGTTCAGAATGCAGAGGCCAGGGAAAAAAATCATGATTCACTTTCAGTGAGAGCCGAACCATCAAGAAGTAAAGATCAGACACAGAATGCAACCCTAAAGACACCCAGGCTGAGTTCTGTGAGCGTGTGCTAGTCCTTGTTGTCTCTAGTTATTTTTTAACTCATTGTTTTTCTTTTTCTCATCAAATAGTTTGTATCTTGTTGAATCATGCACATTCTTTTAAGATTCATCAAACACAGATGGAAGCGGGGAAGCAGAAGAATGCAAAAGCAACTAAACATGAAGTTGTGGGTCAATTTTATCTTTGCTTTCTTTTGAGCATTCTGCATCCTTCATCTCCTGGGCAGCATTTGTTGACTTAGCTTTTTATTATGCTACTAGCAGTTGCCATCCTTGGTAGAAAAATCTAGAGATCCGAGTTTACGCAGACTGAAAATAATGCGAGCTCTTGGTTTGATCCCTCCTGCTGCATCTCCATTCATGAGAACTGGTGCAGGGGTCTGAACAGACTTCTGCTTTAATAACTATGCGCGGTTTTGCAACTGGGAGGATAAAATAACGACATTTTGGTCCATTGTCATGGTGCTTTATTCAGCAATATAGCTGAAATTGTCTATTCGGCATTTCTTACTGACAAAGGGGTGGTGGAAGTTATGTAGCTTATGCCTAAATTTTGGGGATTTTGCAGAGTGGCTAGAGAAATTTCACCTTGTAAACTAGTCAGCAACTGCAACAAGACATCTGTATTGATGGTCTTATTGTTAATTGAGAAACTAAAACTCAACGTGACATTTTTCTGCAGGCTGACTCGTAAACTTGTCAATGTGGAACTCTTATATTTGTGTTGTAACCTAAAACTGTGTACATTGCAAAGATGCTTATCAGAGCACGACGCATATGCTGGAAGAAGCATGTGAAGCTGTACCTTTTCTTTTGAACATGTCCAGAGGATGTGATTGAGCTACTGATAATTTGGACGGTATGCTTCTTTCTTTTTTTTTTGTGAAAGGAATATGAAATTATACCCTTCCCCACCTTTTTTTTTGGTTGTGTATCTTGAATATCTGAATCGTTCAGAGAATGTGATTGGTCTACGCTGATCATTCAGCTGGTATGCTTTGTTTTTATGTGGCTGCATGAAAATGTGCTGCAGGAGGTGCCAAATTCTCTTGCTGAGCCAATGTCCCACTGAATAGTAACAATGAATGC